GCTAACTTTATCAAGTATTGGAAGAATGACCGTGTTGTCCTATAAGCTGTTCATGCGCTGAAAAGCTAGGGGAACTTTTACACTTTAATATTTGACACGTGGATAACAACTGGCCATGCAGACGTGCAATATGATACGTCTTTGCTTTTATTGTAAATGTGACCAGCTAAATGACACGACCGAGTCTACTGGAATGTAGGGATACAGTCAATAGGTTGTAATTTTAGACGTGTTTGTATCCCTGGGGGGGGGATTCGGTTTAAACGCCACGCCGTCGGAGACTGTTCCATAGTCGTAGTTTCTAATTTCCTGCAAAGGGTAATCCTGGCGTTACGGGTGATGAAACACGAGGCGGGAGACTGATATTGCGCAGTGACGTCATTACCCTGGACCACATGCATATAATAATCTGGAACAGCTGAACGGATTTTCGTGAAACTCGTCAAAGGTGTTGTGCCACTGGGGGCTGCTTCAAATCCGTACCTTTTTATTTCCTAAAGTCATTAACACCCCTTTCTGTCTGTCCGTAGGACCGTAATCAACCGGTAGAGAATGGTTGACGGATTCTCATGAAATTTGACATTCTGGAGTTAGAAGAGAATTTGTCAACACCTAGATTTTTGTTAAAATCGAGTGACAGTGTGAACACCGTGGAACCTGCAAAATCCACAGCCACCCAATCAAATCTGACTTTTGGCTCCGTTTCGAAAGCTCAAAAGGCTTCGTACGTAATTCTAGAATGTCAGCTCCGTCTGGCGGGAGATTTCTTAAGAATATTTTCGGGTGCTTAACACCAAGATGATGTCAGAAATCTTCCGTCTGCGGGCGCCGTTGGTGCTGAATCGCGGTGACACACGACCCCTGACTGGGGTTTGCCTCAGTCTCTGAATCGACTGTGTACCGTACTGCATAAATGAACACACATTTCCTGATCGCATTATAACATTCACCGGAATGTAACTGGAATATCATTACAGGAATTTCAGTGCCCTGGCCTGGAATATCGAGGACACTTAATAGGTGTCTGATAGAACGTATCTAATGGTAATATTGACGTTAATTTCGGTATGGCATCTGGCGTGATTAATCGGATATTAGGATCAAAGTGATTAAGAGGATTCATCAAACTCACTCACGTGTTCTCGCAGTTCCGTTACGGCATTTGCATGGAATGGACAGTAATACACACGCCACTGACATTTGGTATACAAGATGGCGTAGTCATATCCCCCGTCTTTTACGAAACCCAAATGTTTGTTACTGTGTTTACAAGTCAATGAATTCAGTGCACGTACTAACACCCTACGTGTTTATAAAATGTATTTTGATTTGTTAGAACGCTGGCCTTGTAATCCTGGGGTCTCGGGTTCGATTCCCGGCGGTGCCCGAATTTATAACTTGTGTTGGGCAAGGCCGTGGTCTAGGCAACACGGAGTTTTCCTCCGTGGCATCCCAACAATTACTCCATTCACACACAGAAGAAGGCAATGGCAAACCACTTCTGGATCATCTGCCAAGAACGTATATGAACAGGTCCCAGTCCGAGAAAAGGATGGAAGGATCCTGTTCATACGGACCTGTCGTCAGACAGAACACTAAATAAATAAATAAATAATAAAATACGCTCAGGTATGTTCACCCCACGTTTTAGAGCCAGTATTTTGCATTCTTTCTACATGCCCCGCCAATCTCATATCCATAGATCGTCTATAGTACGCAGTGAAGTGTCTCGTTTTACAATTATCTCCAGCCTGGTGTCACGTCCTCTGCCCGTCGTCTTAAACATTGTCAAAAGACTATTGTATCGTATGGTAAAACGTTGTCCAAATCTCCACTGAGTGGATAAAACATGAAATCATCAGACTGCAATTTAATATATTCCTATTTCATTACAAGGGCGCAGATTAATTATATTTCATTTAACTGATGCACGGTGACGCTGATAGTTGTTTCTGGAAATAGGAGCCGGAACACTGAATTAAATTTGAACCTAAATAAGTCGTAAGACGATAAGAATTATGTGCCTCATCACGTAGAAAGCAGATGTCTGTCTGTCTGTCGGACGTCGTGTCGTACGGGTGTGAATTTTTGGAATTTGCGACCTTTTTTTTTTCAACTACTGAAACTTCACGAAACACATATCGAGGTTTTATTTTATAGTTCTGCCGGAAACAGAGGATTTTATACGCACGTCGAATGCGGAAATTAGGTTATTTTGTTCATAACCAACTTCTGAATGGGCGCAGGTTGATGAATCAGGTGACAGACTCGTTTGTCAGTCTGTTCTTTCCTGGTTGTCGCCGTTGGTTAGGCAGCCTCGCTGACCGACAAACAAATATTGTTTAATACAAAAACGACTTCTGAGAGCAACAACCCACAGAGGCGCACAGATGAAGATATATGAGACGGGCAGAGTAAGAGGTGGCCCGCGAGGAATAACTTCATCTGTGCACATTCTGTCGGAAAACGAGAGAGCGGGAGTTAGGTTCAGTGGGACGTTTTGCCTGCAGGCGAGTGACTCTGATTTCGCATGTTGTAGGACCGCTGGGACTCCAGGGAGCAAGTCCCCGGCGGGGTCCGGTGCTGCGTCCGTGTCCACCCCAGAGGTGAAGACGCCCACCGCACCTCAGAACAAGGCGCTGCAGTCTGCCAAGGGAGAGCACCCGTCTGTAAGTCAACTTCAGGCTTGCAGCTTGCATTCCCACACCCGCGAAGACCAATCGTAGTCCTGGAAAGGCGGTCGGTTCGAATTTTCCCCTCACCCAAAAGGACAAAATTTGTATTCTCAAGGGTATTTTTTGTGGGGGGGGGGGGGGTTCCTGTGTCCCGCAGTGATTTTTTTTTTTAGGATTTTAAAGGCGCTAGTCCAACTGTGTGTGTTCCTTTCCTCTGTTTCCCCACGCCTCGCTTTTATTGCGATGCTATTGCCGGAAATGCAGTTTCCAGCCTACGCGCCGCCATTTTGAGCAGATGGTTTCTGTGTCTGCCATTTTGCATTTTAATTTACTCAGCATTCAAACTTTGTCCGTGTAGCCGCTTGGCGCGTTGCTGAGCTGATAAGAAACTAATCTTCTCAGTTAAGTGAATTGCTTTCCGGCTTTGAATTCCCGGAGTCCCGGATTCGGCTCTTTGTCCGGCGGCCGCCTGACCTGACTGAAGTTTTCTCCCCCGCGCATTCTCCCACAATACGCGAGCAGCCGAGAAGTGATTTCTGGCTGAGCACACTGACTTGTTAACCGGCGTGTTTCAGATGGCATTTCTGCAGAACCGGTCCATCTCCCTTGTCGACATGTACATTGACAATACGGAGCCCTCGGAGAACGTGGGCCAGATACATT